AATGTCCACTTTCAATATCCAAACAAGAGTAATGAGTGTTTATTTCAATAAATTTAAAGGAAAATCAAAACTCAAAGAAAATAAATAAAGAATAGCATTTTAGACTCACATTTGAAAGACTGAATGATATGGTTAATGTCAGTGTACAGTTTACAGAAACAAAGACAGCAGCAGTGAACAGTTTTTGTACAGTACATGGTGAATGGTAAGAGAATTTGTCACATACAAACACACATACAACCATACTTCAGAAATAAATGCTTTTACAAAACACATATCTCATTACTTGAGAATTACAGGGTACTAGTTTCCATCAACATGAATGACTTGACAACATGAACATTTGCATTATTTAGATTAGAAATAGCCACTCATCAAAGTGTCATTAACCTGCTACACTACATGCTGTATGACACTAGCAAAGGTTTCCTTGAACCACTTGCTGCCAGAGCCGTATTTCAGCTTTATAACTGTTGCAGAGCTGCAAAAGGTTTGAGAAAGTAAATATTCATTGGGTGACCCTTTGATTTGAAAAATTGAAATACTTGAAGTGAAGTTGGTCAGAGAAACCAGAGGGAAGTGTGCTGACTGGAAAGTAAAACCATTTAGCACAGGAAAATAAAACACAAATTAAGGCTACAGAATTATCTTTGTACCAACCACAAAATACAAAAATGTCCAGAAACCCTGGTGACAACACATTTCTGTTAAAAAGGAACAGTGTTTACCTCAGTATTAAAGCTGTGCAAACACCAAGGAAATTTTAATCTGGATGTAACAGTTCTGCCTGGGTTTTAAAAAGTTAATTCACAGCTACTAGCTAGTTTGTAGTGTGTGGAACTGTTTTTCTTGAAAACCTCAAGACAAAGCGAAATGCCTGTACATACCTCATATGATATTACACATCAAAACAGATTTAATCACTCAGCCACTGTACAATATAAAAATCTTTTTTGCTTTAGAAATGCAGGAAAAACCAGCATGTAAAATTTGCAGGAACTACAAAATAGGTAAAAACTAAACTGCACTGATTGCACATTAGATAGTTAAGGCTAGCTAGCAATTTACCCACTTTTCCCTACCTGTTATCTGAAATTAAAATCACACTTAATGTTTCCATTCTTTCTCACTGTGCCTGCATGGGTTCTCTCCAGGTACTCCAGCTTTCTCCCACAGTCCAAATACATGCAGCTTAAGTTGCATGTAAGTAAGCTTAAGCTGCTTAATTGTGGTATAGTGTAGGTGTGTGTATTTGTCAGTCTCTATGTGTCAGCTTTGTGATAGACTGGCAACGTGTCAGTTGGGATTGGCTCCAGCCCCCCATGGCCCTCTTCAGGATAAGCAGTAGAAATAATGAATGGAGGGATGGATTATCTATATTCTTAGTAGCCTAAGTGAGTTTTTACACAAAATAAATTGAGCAGTGGCTAAATCCAATCATAAATGCCAGTTAAGATGGAAAAAAGTTCTGTGAAAAAAAGTTCCATCTTAATTGGTCCTGCTAAAAGTTAATTAGCTAAGCTTAACAGAAAAGTAGTAAGTGCTCTCTCATTGCCTGAATCAAGCAACCCACATGATTTGATGAAGTTAAGATACTTTTAAATCACATTTTTGAAGATCATATATATATTAAGTAAAATTAAGGTTTTACCAATTATTAATCTGTTTCAGAACGTGACTGCTTAACCTTTGAACTTCAAGCCTTTTTTTCCAACTTCATATTTCCTGTAGTTACAACTCAACTTTTGTTAGGCAGTATGAAGGAATATTCTTGTTCAGTCATTCATTCATTCATTTTCTACCGCTTAATCCCTGAGCGGGGTCACGGGTGGGGCCGGAGCCAATCCCGGCCGGCAATCGGGCGAAGGCGGGGTACACCCTGGACAGGTCGCCAATCCATCGCAGGGCTAACACATAGACAAACAACCACACACACGCACATGCACTCCTATGGGCAATTTAGAGACACCAATCAACCTAAGCTGCATGTCTTTGGACTGTGGGAGGAAGCCGGAGTACCCGGAGAGAACCCACGCAAGCACGGGGAGAACATGCAAACTCCACACAGAAAGGTCCTAGGTGGGGCCCGAACCCGGAACCTTCGTGCTGTGAGGCAACGGCGCTAACCACTGTGCCACTGTGCTGCCTTGTTCAGTCATGATACACACATTTTTATCAGGACATGATATTGATCAGTCATTCACTTAATGAACTCTGAGTTAACACTTGGCTGAAATGCCGGAGAAAAAGGAGAAAACGGATATCTGAAGTGGAAATTTACTAAACTGTCGTAAGAGCACACCGTTTTATTTCTAGGCCTGTTATGTTCCACTGAAGGGTTTGGCCGTAACAGCTGGAGAACACATACATACTGTACCTGAAATGACCCGGAGAGCAATGATAGGAAGACACAACACATCATGTGAACACACAGGATAAACTCACATTCCAGGTGAGCAGAGGATTTGAAGAACTTGGAAAACAGAAGAAAAGCATTTCATCAAAACCCTTTTTTTTCCCTCAGCAGCTAAAAAAAAAACACTATATAGAAGTAAGGTATCTATGTTGTCTTGTGCTGGAGTGAGGAGAGGAATGTCAAAAGCTCAGGAGAGGCTTCTGAATTGATTAACACAGATCCATAAATCTGAATGTTTTCTGTCACAGTTATGAAAGGTGCTGTCCATCACAGCTGTTCTGAAGTTCTTGAAGCTCTACTTGAGAGGCTCCACTGTGATCTGTCTTGACCTAAAACATCAGTAAATCACTCAGCTTGAAAAATATTAAGACTTTCCTAAAACCAATCCCAGAGGAGCAACAGCAATGTTTAAAAATTTTCAGCTTGAAGCCGACACTTTCAGGCCCCAGAACCACTTCAGGCTTCTATCCAATACTTCATCAAGTTATGGTTCATTTTGATTGGTTAGCCGCATTACCATACTCACAATGGGGACTGAATTGTGATTAACAGGAATCAGTCAGTGGACTCCATCCTCCAGAGATCCTTTAGCTTCCCAAATCTTCACTGTGCGGTCACTATCAAAAACACAAAAAAAGGTTCACACTGAATCATGTTACTCAATATTGGCCTCAATTTTGGCTTTTTATTCTGAGAGTGAGCTTATTTGAAGAATCATACTGTAGTACAGCAACATTACAAACTTGACACCAACAATAAAAAGCACAAAAATTTTGTGACTCACTCTGAGGCAGTGAACAGTTGGCTGCTGTTGGTGGCCAAGCCGTTTATGGGACTGTCGTGTCCCCGAACCTCACCCAGGGGTGCTAATGAGCTGGCATTCCAAAGGTGCAGCAGCCCTCCTCTGCATCCACTAAGCAGCACTGGGGAGCCTGGCACAATGCCCAGAGCACTAACCCAATCTGCTTGGGCACTGACAGACTGCTGGAAGAAACACTCAATTAGTGCAGGCTTTATTTGGTATCTCAAATCATACTGTTACTTCAGTGGAAGAAAAAACTTCAATGTCAGAGCTGAGAGTGAATTTCCAGGAGATTTATTTTTGATAGCTCCTCAAAGTATATACTTCAATGCTATCATCTTACCTGTAGCAGTTGTTTACTGGCTAAGTCCCACTTCTTGATGAAGTAGTCTCTGGAGCTGCTGTAAAAGACGTCTCCATGCATGACCAGTGACTCCACGGCATCTTGATGGGCCGGGTCAAGTGTATGACTGGAGCTGATGCTACCCTGAACACCTTCTGTCACCTCGTATATCTAGAAAAAAAAGCACATACATTCTACAACACATCTGGTTCTTGTATGGTTTATTGCAGAAATGTGAATGTAATTACAGTCATCTGCATGTGTCTATGTATCTCTTACTTTAATATGATGGTCTTTGGAGCCAGTGAGGACAACATCCTGCCCATTACCTAACTTGTCAACAGTCAGACACATGACAGATCCAAAATGGCCCGTCAGCTTCCCTGTAGACACAAACCTAGAGAAAGAAAGCAAAGTAGATTAATTCTGTTCTGCCTCTAAAACCAACTAAAACTCTAGTCTCTGTTTAAACTTACTTGCGCAGGTCCCACATACGCACAGCATTTCCAGCAGCAGCATAAAGGAAGGAGCCAGAAGGGTTGAGAGCGATCTGGTTGATCTGACTCTCTCCTGGTGGGATGGATAACATTCTGACAGAGGAACAGGTGTCTCCTGAACCCACCTGGCCTGATGACCTGATGTACATAAAAAGAAATGGATCCTTACCATTGCACTGAATTTAGTCAATGTTAATTCACAAAGATGTTGGAAGTACAAGTAAGGGCACTTACGTGAGTGTGCGGATACACTTGGCTGAGTCTCTTATGTCCCAGACTTTGATGTAGGCAGTAGAAACTGTGAAAACAAGGCTGGATGTGTACCTAAAATGTAAGTAAATAAATAAAAATGAATAAAAAAATAATCATCTGAAGCATAAATAACTACTATTATTACTACTACAATACTTCTAATATTGCTGTAACTAGTGTACCTAGTACCTGACTGAGACAACACTGCTGGGATGATCTGATAAGGACATGATCTCCTGACCTGTTACTAAGTTCCATACTTTACATGTACGGTCTGAAAACACACACACACAAAGATACATAAAAGTTAAAGGAAAAAACGTGGAGGCAGTGAAGCAGCATTTCTGTTTTCAACTATTTTATTTTTTTTTACCTTTAGATCCTGTGAATAGCAAATCATCTGTGGCATCCACGCATAGAACAGGCTTGGTGTGCCCCTCTGCTACATGAACACACTGAAATTTGGCCCCTTGGCTGTTCTTATGGGCTGTCATCGGGTTGATCACACCTCTGCATATGATAAAAAACTACAGTGAATTTTGTTCCTTTACAGACCTCTACCTCTGCTAAGCCACAGCAGTTTATTGATTCCCTATTTAATAAAAACAAACCAATTGATGTGACTTACCTGTGACCCTCAAATACAGGGGACTCCTCCATCCTGACAAAAAAGAAAAAAAAAATGAAACCACTGAATTAAGATGAAATGACTGGGTAAAAATTGTAAAAACAAAATTACTGGTCAAAATGTTTAACATTAAACAAATAATTTAAACCTATGTTGAAAATTCAAGACACCACCACCAAGTTATTAAAATGTATTCAGAGGGGGGATGAACCAAATTGCATGACAATCTATCCAAATATTGTCAAGATATTTTGCTTAAAAGCACAGAAACCAACCTTGTTTTGGTGCTAGAGAAAAGGTCTGTGGCTCACCAAAGTCATTAAGGGTACATCTTTGGAGCACCATGAATATCTTCACTAAATGTTATGACAATCCATACAGTAGCTGAATACACATATTTCAGTCTGGACTCACGCTCTCATCACACAGCTAACAACAAACATAGCTAAAAACAAAAAAACACTTATGAGTGATTAATGGTACTTTTCAATTACAGTGATTTGTAGTCAGTGGATTTAGTTCTGGTTTCTGCTGTGCTAACTGGAGGTGTGTGTGCAGGCGTTGAGATGTGTGCCACTGGTGGTCCTTTCTCTTGCATCTTTCTTCGGTTGAGGGGAGAGCGGTCCAGTTGTTTCCTCTCAGTCCTTGTAGGAGACCTGGATCCAGAGCTACACACAGTAAATGTGTGAGGATGCATTTTGTACTTTGATACAGCTCAAGGGTACTTTGGCAGGGTTTAAGTGTGGAGGGCAACAATTCAAAATGTTAGAGCTGTAGTACTGAATGATGAACTGATAGTAATCCTCACCAAAATAAATATTCAACATTTCAGAACAGAACTCCTGAGCTATACAGTATGTCAACTGCAGAAAAATACTGCCTTTTAACACTTACATGCCAGCTGGCCTGGCAGCCAGTCCAGATGGGGACACAGTTAACTCGTGGTCAGGGGTGTGACCAACCGCGTGACCCTGCATGTCTGCTGGCCCTTCCAGGCACTCTGCGAGGGACAGCAGAGGGGCTGAGAAGTCTCCGGCGTGAGATTCACAAGACAGATCTCCGCTGCTGGCATACAGCAACTCCATCTGGGTGGTGGTACGCCTTCGAGCCTGAGGGACCCGGAGAGTTTGGCTCAACATTTAGCTAACTCACACATCAATGGACCAGTTATTCCAAGGCTTATAAATAGGTACTGTGAAATTTAAAAAAAAAAAGTTGTACTTATAGGGAGTAAAATATGCATTGAAAAACATTTGTTGTTCACTTTTACTGTTACTAAAACACAAACATGAAGGTCAGCAATATGTATGTTATTTAGAGAATGTCACATGCACAGTACAGTACCTTGCTTCTTGGTCTAGATTCACCACATAACTTCATTAGATCTGATGTCAGTGTGCTGAAACACAGTTGAGAAAATCAGTTATGCCTCCTGTTAACACCCAATTATGTCGGTGTGACAGGTTGCACTGCTGCCTGCAACTCTTAACCAATGTAAACAACAATAATCAAACACAGTTTTACAATTTCCCTCTTTTGTGTTTAATTCTTTATTGTATAGTTTCCTGCACCCCCATCCTACCCTCTCCCATACTTATATAAATAATCATGTAAAGTAGTTGAGGTTGCTCAACTACATACATCTCTTCAGTATACTGTATGTCTTTCATTGAGTATGGTGGTTTCCTGCAGCAGACCATCATTTTCCCTGCAGTGAGATTAGCTACAAGTTCAAACTATGTGAATAAATGTACCAGTGACATTACTTGCACATTTTAAGACTTTTTCTTTTATATGAGGGAGGACTTTTGTACAAGCTTCTTGGATTCCTTCTTTCTGTGTACCTATCCAGTTTTATTTCTTTATTTAATATAGTTTTCATATCATCATATGAAACTATATTATTCCAATTGAACAAATAAAAAAAAAGTAAAATATTTCTGCTCATCTCCATTTTCAGCATAATAACAGTTTAATATAAGTGCTGCTGAACTGCTAACCTGAGAAAAGCTGAACTGAGAGTTTACATTTACCTGCCCTCTGTGGCTGGACTGGGGGTGGACTCATCACTACTGCTGTCATCTCCATTTTCTACACCGAGAAACACATAAATATGCAAAAACAGACATAGTGACAAGTCAAGTTTCCCACTGGATTTGCAAAGCATACACATGTTTTTCCCTAACAGTATACGTATTTACTACCAAACTGTTTCTAAATATCCTACAAACACAACATCCATTCAGAAAGATAATTATGACAGCACAGCAATAAGCAATTCATAACAAGGGGCCACCAGGTTTAGATAAACGGGGACAAGTGGAAGCTACAGTGTTGGAGAATTGGTCCTGTGTAAAGGAAGAAATAAAAGACAAAAGATACAAACAGAGAAACAAAGACTTCAGCCTTGAGTCCTTCTGCAGCATGGGTTTTAATGCTGTTTAGTTTTTGTGACAACCTGATTAAATGGCACTGACAAGCAGGTGGGGTAACAGGCACGTTATGCATCACGGAAGAGTTACAGTACTTCAGTGTGGTTAGTTTTACAAAGAACTTAGGGTTAATGCACACAACAAGATTTCTTAATCAATACAAGAAATGATTAATTAACATAAGTAAGTTCAATGCTGGTTGCTTGACTATAAAAATATTCTAATGCCAAAATATATGTCCTTGGAAATAACAATTAATCTAAGATTTAAGATGTTATTTTCCAACATTTTTTTTAACAATCATGAACATTTTTCTTCTTCTTTATCTGCTTTGTTTGAGGTAAAAAAAAAAAACTGGAATTGGAAAAGAGCATAAAATAAAGATAAAAAGGAAGACATCGTAAATACATAGAATTTGTTGTAAAAAAGCAAGCAGCTCATGTGCAAATGCTAAAATATCTTTTGTAGAGATTTTTGTATTTAAATGGTTTTTTGTTGAATACCCTTACACTGCAAAACATTCAAAAATGCTATGTGATGCACTGTCACATCACTTCACAGAGGTACCTATATGGCAAAAAGATTAGTGTTCTCTTTTGATTTTTATCATTACGTTTATTTCAATAGTTGTCTTAAATTAGCAGTAAATTCATTGGAAATCTTGTAGTGTTTATGTCCCTAGCTCGCTTCAAACAGTCACATTGCTATGAATCTCATACTCACCAGGTGACAGGTAACTTAACTCTGAGTTCACAACAGCAAAACAAAGAAAACAAGCAGAAATCAAATCAAATCAGAATTAAACCCAAAGATTAGAAAAGGGGCTGTACTTTATTTTACAGGCTTGATTTAGTGGCAATTCAATGAAAATTTGATGCCTAGTAATGAATATTTCATGATCAATTCTCCTTGCACACATACCAAGAAAACTTAGGCCTGCAAAATAAAATGTAGCCATATGGTGACAGAAAAGATTAACTGAAAAAGGTGACTGTGCTCAACATGCTTTGACTGCAATTGATCTGTAGGTGTTTGCTACCTTGCAAAGCACTGCCCAGCAGGGCGTCAAGCTCTGGGTTGATCTCGGCTTTCTCCTTTAGCATGTGGAAGAGTAGCTGGTTCTGGGTAGCGCTGTTGATCTCTATTTGCTTTAACCTGCCCTCCATCACTTTCAGCTGGGAATCTTTCTGAGCTGCTTGCAGACCCTGACAGCACACAGCACCAGCAGACAGGTTATATATGAATAATTTCTTTTTTGTATATCTGCAAACATATACTGACCTATATATGTGATAAACACAAGAAGATGGTTTTACAACAGTAAAAATAATCAAGTGCCTTTAAGTTCAATATACGGTTGTAATTGCTTCCATTTCTTCATTGTTCAGTTTTGTACTTTGCTGGTGGGTTGAATATATTTCCTCACTGGACCAATTAGGTTTCATCAAATCTAATCTTACGCAATCTAAATGACAGTTAAACTAATCAGGTTGTTTCACTGAAAGTCTCGCTGGATTCAATCTTGTAGAAGGAGCCACGGCTACAAAAGCAACATGAACATAAACAGACAAATCATGCAAGTCACCATAACATCCAACAATATACATCAACAATCTTTGGCACATTTGTTTTGAAGGCTACAGTTATGTGTAGTTAAAAAAAAAACAAAAAAAACAAGGAGTGTTTCATGTTAACTTGTAATTGATTAGTATGGATTAGCATGTCAGGGGGTTGGGATTGCAGGGATCTCAATTAAACTCATAAAAACGATAAAAGTGAGGGCTTATCAAGTTTAATAAAGTGCTGCCAGAGTAATACAGACATCCATCTCATGTTAGTATATGAATCCAAACAAGACCCTAATAACATTAACACAGAGAGAAAATGAAGTCAGTATAGGTGACAGGTACCTTACTGATGGCCATATTCATAAAATGGTCCAGAAGGAAGCGGGCCTCTGACAGGTTACAGGAGCTGATCACTGCAGTAATATCCACTGTGTCTACTTCCTCCTGTAGCCCAGGATAATAATAATAAATTTAATAAAGCAGCATTGTAAAAATATCTAAAGGAATACTTTCATGTTTTGTAAAATACACCTTGCTTTCAGGCTAACACCAGCAGGTGGTTAGCTTAGCACAAAGTCCGGAAATGGAAAAAGGCCAGTCTTACTCAATATGAAGGTACCAATATCCACCTAGCAGCACACTAACACAAAGTAATCCTAAATGCCGTATTTATTCCCAGTAACTGCCAGGTGTAACTGATGCAAAGCTCACTGAGCTATCTGAGAAAACTAATGTAGCTTGGCCCTCCTGTCATTAGGTCAAAGGTCAAAGTGCTTGTTTGTCATATGCACAGTTACGAAACGTGTTTCTCTGTACAATGAAATTCTTACTTTGCCGTCCACATGAATGCCACAAAAATACAAGTGAAATATAAAGTTGATGAGCAATAAGACAAATCTAAATAGGCAGTAACACAAATCTAAGGCATTTTAAAACAGCAGGTGAAGGAAGCAAATAAAAATACAACAGGAACACAATATAATGCAGAGAGTGTGTAATTGGGGAGGCGACAGTGCTGCAGTGGGTAGAGCAGCTGTCTCCCAACCAAAAGGTTGAAGGTTTGAATCTTGGTCCTTGCAGTCCACATGTTGAAGTGTCCTTGGGCAAGACACTGAACCCCCCTCTGTTGCTCATGATGGCAGTGCATATGCACGCAGTGGCCCAGGGCCCTTGGCTCCAAACATAATTTTGTTGTACGTGTCACAATGACAATAAATAAAGCTTCTTCTCATTATGCACTCTGCTTATAAGTGCTTGTCATTAAAGATATACACTGATAAAATTTTATATTACAATTTAGCCAATATACTGTACTTCCAAGTTAAGGATAATCACCTTATTTGGCCAAGTGTGTTACACACAAGGAATTTGTTTCCGGGACAGAACCGAGGCAGCCATCTCTGGCACCAACTCACACACCGATGGCTCTAACCATCAGGGGCAACTTAGGGTTTGGTGTCTTGGCCAAGGACACTTCAACATGTGGACTGCAGGCACCATGATTTGAACCTCTAACCTTCCGGTTGGGAGACGGCCGCTCTACCCACTGAACCAGAGTCACCCCTCCCAAAGCCTTATGCCAATAATGTCTAAATGCAGTCAGTTCCATTAGCTAACACTTAGGTTTCAGTAAGTTTAACTCAGTTTAATAAACACCTAGTTTAAAACTAGCTGGTACTAGTTAGTTAGCAACCTAATGCTAAAACCTGCACTGAATCACCTGTGTTTCTGTGTGTCAACCAACACAGCGCATTTGGAATGTCCAACACAGAAATTCAACAATAAAGTTTCACAGCATTATAACAGGGCTCTGAGTGCTGGCTCATTAGTCACACTACCCATGGTTTACAAGTGATAAATAATTGCACAGTTTAGCACCAGCGACACCACGGGATTTTGGAAACCGCTTTGATACACAGGCATTAGATACAAGCAGTTAGCTACAGTAAATTTCTACATTTGCATTAGGCTGCTTTGCCCATGTTTTTGGCTTCCCTAATGGCCTGCACTGCCAGTGGTTGTTGTTTTAGTGAGCTATTGTTGTTCTGACAAAAAAAAAAGCACCTGATACTTGTTTGTCAAAGTGGGGTCCAAATGCTCTGGAAGCAGTCAGTGGTGCTGAACTGTGCAATTATTTACTGTACCGGTAGTTTACCTGAAGGCTACAGTCCAGTAAAGGCCACAACTTGCTAATAAGGGAGGTCTGCTGTGTGTGTGTGTGTGTGTGTGTGTGTGTGTGTGTGTGTGTGTGTGTGTGTGTGTGTGTATAAAACCAATTGGCAAACTGACTGACTATAAAATCCTTGCATTTACTTACATTAATATAAAAAACATTACAAAAAAAGTTAAAAAAAACAAAACAATTAAAACCAAGGAATAATGAGATACGACAGATTCCCCACTGCCTCACCTTAGCCTCCTCTATCTGCATTATATTGGCCTGGCATTCGGCAATGCTGTCGTTGATGTAGTCGATATTAGCACTAAGAGACTCCAGCTCCTCATTCAGGGGGGCCAGGGAACAGTCAGCGTCCGCACCCTCCACTGCCATCTTCTCCCTTTTTCTGGAAACTCGCTCTCTCCGCCGGGTCAGCTCCTCACGTTGCTGTGATGGTGCAGGAGTTTAGAAGAAGAGACAGGAAGAAAAGGTACAAAAGGAGAAGAAAAATCAGGGACAAAACAGTTTTTCAGTTTCACAGGCGACTATGATTTTTCAGTTCTACTCTAGTTTTTGCCGCCACGGTTGACCCTGTTACCTTCAGGAGTCTGTTCATGTCATTCTCCATGTTTGAGATGGTCATTCTCTGCATGATGATGTCGCTGACACGTCTCTCCAGTGACTGCCACTTGGCCCGGGCTGTTCTGCTGATGTAAATACTTCCTGTCCGCACCGGAGAACTCCTGATGAGTGATACATACAGTATCTTTTAAACTACTACAAAACACATACTTGTAAAACACACCATGGCTTATACACACTACAACACACAAAGGTTCTCACATGGTATACCTGGCTCCATTGGAAGGGCTCACACCAGAGGACTGCAGCCTTCCTGGGGTTGCTCGTTGTGACGACTCCTGAAGAGGCTCAGGTAAGCTTACCTTCCTGCTTGCCTTTCCAGACACAGGTCTCACCTGTCGCCTAAGAGCTGTCACCTGATACAGGTCATAAAACAAAGAGTAAATCTGCACATGACAGTAGAAACAGGAGGTGCAATACAGTGGATTCAAACCCACTGCTATTGTTAGTACTCTCTTCTATATAAATGTGTGTAAGCCACCTCTTCATTCCTCCTACGCAGGATCAGCTCCTGTTGTCTTTTCTGGTCTTCCAACTGTCTCAATTGGTGCTATAAAAATAGATATTGAAAAGAAAGCATCATCCACACTGAGAAATTAAAGAGTTTGTTAACCCCCGCTTTGAAAAAGTAGTTATGACAAGAAAAAACTATATCAGCAAATATTTATTATATTATTCAGAGAAGGTATGTATCTATCCTATTTTGTTTGGAAATTGTGTTATGAACTTAGAGCACTTTTTTTCACAACCATGTTATGTTAGCATAAATAATTATCTGGAGGTGTGTTTACCCTAAACACTTTCTCGGCCCTTTTGCAAAATAAACTCTTAAAATAAAAGATAATATAAAAATTATATTAGTAGAAATGAATAGCTTTTTGGGGGTGTGTTTCCATCCCCGCACCTCGGCTCTGCGCTGGTCTTTCTTCAGAGAGGCGATCTCTCGGTTCCTTCTGCACTCTGTGGCTCGGTTTCTCTCCTGTTGCTCCTTCATTTGACGCATCAGCCCCACCTGGTGGACAAAGACAACATGGCAGGAGATCAATTACCACAAGACAAGTGTAGAAGAAAAAAAAAAACATGACCTTTTGTTTACCTTAGTCTTCTTCATCTCTGCCACATCCTGCTGGAGTTTCTTGAGCTGTTTCTCATACTGTGACTGGTTCTTCAGCAGGCGAGCATGCTCCCTCTGAGCTGACTGGAGCTTCTGCAACTCTTTGTTCATGGAGCTCAGCTTCTTCTCATATTCTGTTTTGATCTTCTTGGCCTTCTCCTCCGTACCCGACTCCACTGAACCTGGACAGCAACACAAAAACAATGAAAGAATACACTTTTTTTGTTTTGGTTTTTCAGGCTTGAACAGATGAAGCTTCATATTGTTTGCTGACATATTTACAGTTGCTTCAAAAAGCATTCAGACTCCTTTTTTCACACCTGTGTTGTGGATTTTACTTTCCATCCATCCATTTTCTAAACTGCGTAGTCCCAAATGGGGTCACGGGGGGCTGGAGCCGGATTTTACTTTAAAAAATGTTATTTTTCTCTAATGTGAAAACCTTATTCAGTTCTTTATAGAGGCCCCCAGAAATTATAGCCTCAACTTAGGAAAGTAGGTAAGACTACAAGACAGTTGGATGGCTTGGTTTTTGTCATGACATGCAGTGCAATCCAATCACTTCAGTTTGGTACAGCTGGACTTCAGTCAAGTTCTATTCACATCTCCAGGAAAAATAAAGCAAATAGGATCTGCCTGACCACATTTGGCTGTGGCTCAGGAGGTAGAGCTAATCCGGAGGATTAGTGGTTCGATTCTCGGCTTGTCCAGTCAACGTGTCGAAGTGTCCTTGAGCAAGACACTGAACCCCCAGTTGCTCCCGGTGATGTCACCAGTGTGTGAATGCGTGAGTGCTTGGGAGTGTGAATGGCCAAATAATGTGAAAGCGCTTTGAGTGTGCTGTAAAAGCATAGAAAGGCGCTATACAAGTATTAAGACCATTTGAAAAACATGCTTTCACTTTGTCACCCACTTAAAATTAAATCCGCAACACAATTAAGTGTGCAAATAGTGAAGGTGTCTGAAGCCACTGTAGGCACTGGTGACTCTTACCCATATTGTGCAACACTTTGTCCCTCTCCAGCTGTGTGTCTCTGATCTTGTTCTGCAGCATCATCAGCTTCTGTTCATACTGCTGTTTGAGAGTATGCAGACGCCGTTGGCTGTTCTCCAGCTCATCTATAAGCTTCTGCTTAATGGCGATCTCACAAGTGATGTTGGCCAGGTCAGCCTGGACATTTTCTACACTCATGGGGGACAAACAAACATCATGAAATTCTATTGCCTCTTTTATTTTTATTACTGATTTTGTCTCAGAGTAAATGTAGTGTCGTGATTTAGTTATCCAGGAACAGAACTTGCATAAAAAATTCTCCTGCATAAGTGAATTTTACTACCTGTCTCCTCCAATTCTTCAGAGTCAGACTCATCAGAAGTCTCCTCTCCGGCCATGTCAAAGTCGTCCTCTGCATCCACATCCTCACCTTCTTCATGATCACTGCCCTCCTGAGGACGTATTACCCACAAGGGGAAGACAATAAGACACACAGATTGAGTCTGATAAACATTTTTAAATAGCAATCTAAAAGCAAGCTGTTCTCCACCTACCACCTCTGTCTCCTCGTTGCTGCGCTCATGGTCATTGTTTTGGACTTCTTCTTTGATAATGCTGGAGGAGCAAAATAGCATCAAACAGCGATCAAGCAGGGCATAACTCTTACATTGTGGATACAATCTGCATATAAAGATAGGTAAATGGCACATGCAAATGATTATCAGATCATGGGCTGATGGAGAATCAGGGATAATTAACATAACCCAGACAGACTGGGATGTGTTTAAAGCTGCAGCCACCTCAGAGGACTTTTCTGCCAGCAGACAGGACTATGCTGATTATGTGACCGGATATATTGGTACCTGTATCGACAACATTATGCCCACCATACAAGTCAAGAGGTTCCCAAACCAGAAGCCCTGGATAAACAGTCAGGTATGCCACATACTGCGTGCTCACTCTTATGAGATGGAGTACAAAGCTGTGAAGTACAGACTGGGGAAAGCCATCAGAGCGGCCAGGAGGCAGTACAGAGAGAAGCTGAATGGCTTCTATTCTACTGCTGATTCCAGACGGATGTGGCAAGGCCTGCAGCACATCACAGACTACAGGACAACCACCAGCATCATCAGCCCCACAGACAGCCTGCCAGATGACCTCAACACCTTCTACACCCGGTTTGAGACCTCTAGCTACAGCACAGAGAGGAGGTACACACACACACCGAGACCACCCACTCTCTGGTATGGCAGCACTATTGCTATGGACCGCAAGCGCCTGCAGAGAGTGGTAAAGATTGCGGAGAAGATCACCAGGACTCCACTGCCCTCTCTACAGAGCATTTACCACTGCACGGTGCGCAGGAAAGCTGCCTCCATCCTCAAGGACCCCACCCACCCCCAGCATGGACTGTTTATACCCCTACCCTCTGGCCAGAGGTTCAGAAGTGTGAAATGCAGGACCTCTAGACTGAAAAACTCTTTCTTTCCCTCTGCCATCAGACTCCTAAACAGCTGAGGAGTTTATTACCAGGAAATACATCATGTACGGTTTACATTCTCAGTTTGCACATGCATAATTGCACATTGAATGTTGACTGTGCTGCACATGCTGCTCCCATGCAGCATATATTCTCTTATTATATTCTTATATATTTTTATTATATCTCTGCATTTGCTGCTTAAAGTGCCTTAGATTTAGTGTTACTTATTTATCTACTTTATATTTCATTTGTATTTTGTGGCATTCATGTGGACGGCAAAGTAAGAATTTCATTGTACAGGGAAACGCGTTTCCTAACTATGCATATGACAAACACTTTGACCTTTGACCTTGATGACTGCATGAGGGGAAACATTTTAATACACTGGGAAAGATAACATGATTAAAAAATGATCAAGAGTCACAGTTATTACCATCCACATTACAAACTCCTTCCACTGAAATAACAACTGCCACACACTGAATGTATCTGTGCTGCGCCAAACTGAGCACAGCAAAAGGTCACATGTGCCGTCCCTGTGCACTGACCTGAAGTAAAAAAAAAACAAATTGGGTACACGTAGATGCATCCAATTACACAGAACCTGACAAACTACAAAGAAAATGGAGGAGAAGCTGATTTTGGCAGACCCACACCCTGTTCTCCTTTGCTGCAGCTCCTCTCCTCCTCATCATCATCGATGCAACTAAAGCCAGAGTTTTTTGCGGACATGTAGATAGATACATTGTGCATCCAAGTCTGCTGCTTGAAAAAATAGTTAATAATGTATCCGCTAACCACCTCCTGGAAAGCTGCTTGGTCATCTAGCAACTGGTGATGAGCATGTGCGTGATTTGTGTGTGTGTGCTCTCCTCCCCCGTGCTGTGCCCAACCGCGAACAAAGTGCATACCTATCTGAAAACGGCTTAAGAACAGAGGGTTAAGAGGAAGAAGTAAGAGCAGGTGTGCTTCCCCTGGCAGCAAGAAACAACTGTTGGTGCAGACGAGATTTGAGGTTAATTTGGAAATTTGGGTTAAGACCCTGGTTAAATATCAACTGAAATCCTTTCGTTTACTTGATGCACTTTAATCTGAACACAAAAATCATGATCTGCACTGCTGAGATGGTCAATCTGGGAAATGAATCAGTTTCAGTTTTTATATGTGACCCAATTCTGGATGCGCTGTAGCAAACCTGGTGTGTTCAACCTCATGGTCATGATTATCTTCATATCGCCTCAGTCTTTTGAGAGAAGGATAGCAACGGGGAGTGAGGATAATAAGATATGGAGGTGAAAAGGAGGTAGAGAGAGGAGACAGGCCATGGGAGATGGGGCAAGTGAGGGAATATTATAAGATAGGAGAAAGACAGAGTGGAAGAGCAGCAAGAAAGACCAGGTGAGTGCAGAGACTGTGACACACATTTACAACAAAAGAATAAATGATCATTATGCTGTAGCATGCCACAGCTTGTAAGACAACCATCCCCATTGACAGCTACACCATCACCTTATCTGAAACCAGCATATACTCCATTAAAGGAACATTAGGGTTTAAACGGTAAATGCAGGGAGCTAGGAGATAATTACCTACAACACACCGGGCCACATGCCCTCACTGCGGGAACAGATGAACATCAGGAGTACTTTTATTTTCCAACAAAGTTGCTGTCATTCTAATTCACCTCCAAGGAGAGTCAAGGCCTTAAGATTTTCCACATTGTCTGATAAGTGAACAGGACATGGTTTCCCTCTGCTATCCCTCTGTAACACTGTGCCACATACAGCTCTTCTTTTGTAATTTATACTTCTCCACCCTGTGCTTCCAAAGTCTGATCTGCAAATGAGCTCCGCTTGCCACCTAAGGAAGGTTATAAGAAGCATTTTGAGCATGAGTAGTTATTTCAAACAGCCAGCCATGAAGGAGCTTTGATAGCTGAAAGTCTGAAACAGTGCTTGTCAGACAAAAGACGTCATGTTCTTTTGCACAGTGGGACAACATCCTTCCTTCTGGATATGTTAGCATATAAAGCTAACATGTCTGTTTTGGGAAATTCTCTCACATCCTGGGGGAGGCTGGGACATGGAATCTTAATGGGCTATGTTCAAATCGTCCATTGTACAAGCAGCTGTTCTGAGTTGTGGCCAGAAGATCGTTAGTGCCTGTTGGCAACCTGAGAACCTGCCGGACGGACACCAGTGGTGAAGAAAGCCATCAGGCTGAAGAAGGAGGCCTGCACGGTTTGGTTGGCTCAGGGGTCCCCCAAAGCAGCTGATGGGTACCTGAAGGCCAAAAGGACTGCAGCTCGGATGGTTGTGGATGCAAAAACACCGGGTGTGGGAGGACTTTAGTGAGGCTATAGAGAAGAACCTTTGGTTGGCCTCAAGGAAAGTCTGGCAAACTGCCCGGCAACTCAGAAAGAGAAAGCAGGGCTTGGCCCAACCTGTATTTGACAAGGGAGGAGAACTGCTGACAGGGACTGGGGATATTGTTGGGTGGTGGAAGGAGCACTTTGAGGAACTCCTCTCTGGCAGAGATCACTGAAGTAGTCAAAAAGCTCCTCAGTAGCAAGGCACCAGGAGTGGATGAGATTCTCCCTGATATAATATTCGGGTTTTATAAGCTTTAGTTACTTTTTATACCTGGGAGCCGTCCCTGGTAGACTAGTGGTTAAGTCGCAGCGCTCTTGCCGCTGCGGCCCGGGTTCGAATCAGGGTTGCGTCAAGAAGGGCATCCGGCGTAAAACACGTGCCAAATGTCAACATGCGAGTCGTCAGTGTGACGATTCGCTGTGGCGACCCCTAAACTGGAAAAGCCG